ACTTACCGTTACAAACAACCATCATTGTAAATAAATAACTACTGCATAAAGTTAAGACCGTTAAGACCCCATGAATAGACAAGTGCATGAAATAAGTGTGATATAGGTTAAGACCAGAGGAAAAACAATCACATCAACAGGTTCTCTGTGCCTCACCGACCACACGGCCATATCTACACATAAACATCACACAGTCATGAGTGTGGATCACTTTGTTCCCTCCGTTATATAATCCTGTCCTGCTTTCTGAGTGCAATATTGTTGAAATAGTATAATTTTGGACAGTGTCTTTATTTAACTGCAGCTCTGTAATGGTACTTAAAGCAGTCCATTCATTCTGGTGTTGTGGCAAAAATATGAATTAGAGCTCTAACACTTCTCTTGTCTTCCAAAATAAAATAAACCAAGCAGAAGCACAGTAACAGATATCTGACGTCATTGCTGTTCACACGGCAACATGAAAAATAATTGACTGTGTAGAGTCCCACCTGCAGTCAGACGCCTCTCCACATTACTTACACTTTGGGTCTCCATTTTTTCCGAGTCATGAGGTTCAAGTCTGGGCCAGAGTTCAATTTATTGGTATTGAAGTCAAAGTCGAGTCCCGAGTCGAGTCTAAAGTCATCAGATAGTGATAGATGAAGAGATAGTAATGCAGCTTTGATCAGCTTTGTTCTTTCAGCTGTTGCTACATGAACTCTGTACACTGGAGCAAATATTCTTCTATATATTCTGTTTATTATACTGCATTCAGTTTAATATGTATATTTAATACATAATTAATTTAATACATACAGCTTTTCAAAGTTATTAATTTATGTTTACTGCTCTGCAATACTGAACTCACGTTTCAGCAAACTCAAATGAAACACACACACATTAATGTGGGATGAGGTCAAATGGGGAGAGGGTTTAATAGATCTGTGGATTAAATGTAGATAATGTGAGGATGTTGAAACGCTAATAATTTCTTCCTGTAATTGTCTGATGGTCTCTAACCCTGCAGCATGACGCGGGAGCAAAAACAGGGCTAAGCGGCTGTACTGTTTCTATATCTCTGTTAAATATAAGGATCAGAAAGTGCAGTTTAGTGAAGGCTGTGGTTGTAGTTTATTGTCTTCTTTCATTTCACCACCAAACTGCAGCTGTACTCTGTTTTGCTGTGAAGAGGATCTACAGTGTCTTCATAAATCCCTAAATCAAAATCAGACCTGATGAGCATCTCTGTCTATCATCTCATCAGTCTAACACATCAAAACCCCTTAGACAGTCTCAGGAGAAACAAACAACGTGTGTTCAGTTAAAAATAAAACACAATCACAATTGAAAGAAAACAGGGAACAAATTAAGAAATCGTAACCACGAATAAAAGAAAACGTGTACGAACTGCAAAATGTTCACTCGAATGAAGTTTTTTTTTTTTACCTCTTTCCCCTCGGGGGCTCCATAGCAGAGTAAAGCAGAACTGAACTGATGTCTGTTCTGATATTTCATAAAGTAGCAGCAGATTATCTGAAAATACTTTACTGCTCACTTTCAGTCAAAGCCTTGTGTGTTTCTCGCTCCAGTAACCTGTTCAGAACAGATATGATGATCTTTGTCTATGTGAAGCCACCAGGGCCAATAAGTGTTTTAATATTTAAATATATTATTACACTTTTGCATCAAAACAGTAATAATAATAATAATAAAATGAATTGTACAATTGTATGACTGTAGTTACTGGTTTTCACAGACCTACACTGCTGTGAAAAAGTATTTGCCCCTTCCCAATTTCTTCTATTTTTGCATATCTGTCACACTTGAATGTTTCAGATCATCAAACTACTTTTAATATCAGAGAAAGACCCACATAAACACAAAAAAGCTGTTTTAACTGACGATTTCATTTATTGAAGGAAAAATGCTGTTCAGCCCTACCTGGCCCTATGTGAAAAATTAATTGCCCCTTAACTATAAAATCAACCAGTTAACCAAATTCAATTGACTTTTGGGTTAAATTTCACTAGATACATCCAGGCATGATTACTGCCAGACCTGTTGTATCTAAACATCACTTAAATAAAACCTGTCTGTCAATGTGAGTCAGACTAGAAGGTCACAAGAAACAGTACATAATCATCAGTACTGTACATCTCATTTGGTACCCTGATAGGCCTCTAACATTAGTACTCGTCAATTATCACTGGTTGATCTAAATGACTCTTTCCTTTTCTTTATTCTGTTTTCACTATTGTATTGTTGTATTATTGTTTTGCTATTCGGTGCAGAACACAGGAGGATGGGTTCCTCTGTTGAGTCCTGGTTCCTCTCAATGTTCCTTCCTCTTCCTCTTAAGGCAGGGGTGTCCAATCTTATCCGCAGTGGGCCAGTGTGGGTGCAGGTTTTCAACCCAAACAAAGAAGAGCACACCTGATTCCACTCGTTTAATCAGTCAGTCTCAGTCTTTAAACAACTGATCATGTGAGCTGCTGCTGTGTTGCCCTGAAAACGTGCAGCCACACCGGCCCTTCGCATATAAGATTGAACACTCCTGTCTTAAGGAGTTAAAGCTGCTTTATGTAAAAGCTTAAAAAACATTTTGAATTGACTATAATTCTCCTGTATAATTGTTTCAGTTTTGTTAAGTTTCACTTAATTCAGTACTGCACTTTACAGACACACAGACTGAAATAAACATCAAACACAATCTTATATCTTTATATAACTAACACATTCTGAATGAGTGAATCTCTACTGGAGTTCTTTAACATAACAAGATGCCCATTTTGTGTGTGTGTGTGTGTGTGTGTGTGTGTAGCTGAAGGCACTTTGCATCAAACTCAGACTTCACTGTTGGACCAAAAAACTTTTGTTTCAGCAAAGCATTGTGGGTCATGTAGTTTTGTGGAAGATTTTAAACTACACATGGGTCTATTATCACTACTGCATTAGTGTATTTAATCTGAAAATTTATCTGGAGCTTTATTCTTACTGGTCAGTCTAAAAAGCTTAACTGTTAAAACAGAAAATGAAAGCTAAAATACGCTGTTAGGGTGGTTGCTAATTTTAGCTGTGAGCGCACAAACCAGGAAGGAAACCAGATGTCGACAAAAAAACCAACCCCCATCTTAAACACTGAACATTTACTCATCCCACCCTCACACACACTCTGTTCTCACACTCTGCACTGTCCACTGAGTTACACAGCTGTGAAAGGTCTTTACTGGAGAATGTAAGTAGTAAAGATTTTCTCTGTTTAATGTATAATTAATATATTACTGTAACTATGAGCTCCACTATCAGAGTGTAACAGTGGACATGGTAAAAAAATGTTAAAGCCACAAAGTAGAGCTTCAGTTTCCTCAGTAAGAAGCAAACGGAGGTTCAGATTTTTATAATGTTACATTAATGTGTTGAACTACACAAAGACATTATTCTCTGTCTTTATTTTACAGGAAAAGTGGAATTATGAGCTCTGAATGTGGGATGTTATCACTCATCACCCTGCTGTGTATTTCAGGTAGGATTATTCTGCTTCTGATGAGCAGCTGTGACTATAACAGGAATTATCCTGCTATATTATTCTTTATTAAAAAACTTAGAATCTGACTATTAAAGAGTCACTCCAGTCAAAATGAAAAGGCCATAATGCCAGACGACCACTTGTAGCTGTGTGGAGTTCAGCTCCCAGCCACCCTCACCTTTGAAACGCTTACTTCAATGGTGAGAGCATGTGGGAACTGTACTCCACACAGCTGCAAGTGGTCATCTGGCATTATGGCTGGCTTCTGTTTCCTTGCTGGCTTAAGTTCACAACATTGCCGCAGTGTCCCTTATTCCTGCACTGCCAGCATACCAGTTGCTCCACTGTCACTGCCGGCTTAATACACCATCTCCTCCTCAAGCTACTCTGCTGCGTAGCACTGTGTTGCTCGTCATGGTGTTTTCTAGCTGATGATGAGTTCTGCCCTTTGTGCCTCAGCGGCAGCTGCTTGAAGGCTGCGTAAGGTGTCTCAGCTCCTTCCTTCCTCCTTCCGGCTGTATCTGTCCAACCTTTGTACTCCAACCACTACCACGCTTATCTGCTCTCCCGTTAGCCTCCACTTAAATCAGCTTCCAAGGGTCCAAGTTCAGTGGGAGTGTTTGAGCAGGGAAATGACCAAATTGCCAGACACTGACCCTCCAGGACTGTAATGAAAAACTCTGAAAGAATGAAAAAACACACAAAAGCTACAGTAGCAATTAATAATTAATAATTAATTAATAACTGTACTGTTTTACCTGTTGAAGCTTCTTATGTTTAAATGATATATTTTCTTCGTTAATATTTGTGTTTTAAACTAAACAAATCTCCACATAAACTACTTTACACTGCTTTAAAACTGAGTTCTGTTTCTTCAAAGCTTTGTATATTTAATCTACAGAGCTTCATTATCTGTGCTTGTTTGTGTGTTTTAAACTGTGGTTATCACAGACAAAGTGAACACAGCCAACTTTACATGCTCTTGTGTTTGCTGTAGCAGCAGCAGCAGCAGCAGCACTATTAACACCCCTGCTGAACTGTCCTGCTAAGATCAACTTTTGCTGCTAGCTGGTTTCAGATGGCCTAAGCTGGTCTTTGGTGCTCAGTGTGGCTGACAAGCTGAACATCCAAATGGATTGAAACAAAAAAAAACAAAGAAAAAAAAAACAAATAAAGTCTACCAACTTGACAAAGCTGGTCAACCAAACTTAACCTATTTAATCAGTTTGAGCTGGTCAAGCTGTTTTTCAGCAGGGACTGTAATCTCACTCAGGAGTGTGTCTCCTCACATCTAAGACTATTACAGTCTGACATTTTAACAGTTTGATAACCTAGAAAAACAGAAATACTACAGTCTCTCTATCACAGCACTGAAAACTCAGGTTGGTGAAATTTAAAGCCTGAACTTGGCTAAACAACATTAACTTGGGCAACTCATAACAACTCATGACAGCGTATGACGTCTGCTGTGACATCATTTATGGCATGATTCATGGCAGTATTATCAAGCAAGGTTCAAGTAGCTTTTCTGAAAAATACAACAAATTATATGAAATTGAAGAAATATTAACATCACATTTGCATTCATTCTGAACATTAGTTTAGAACTGTTTATTTTCTTTCATTTTTGTCTGTCTCTGTGTTTGTCTATGAGATGAACAAAACGTAATAGGAAAGCCTATATAAGGCTATGATGTATGATTGTGTTCTCTCCGTCTCACATATTTCATTGTGAGACGGAGAGAACACAATCATGTACTGGCTGACTGACTACATGTGTTAAGGGAAAGATGATGTGAATTTTCAGACCATTGCTTTCATGGCTAAAGTCCACAAACAATATGTGACATATTGGTCAGGGCTGTCCACTATCATGCTGACCGCATCATCATCACATCATTGTTTTGCTAGCCAAACATCTCCACCCATTTTATGGAAGCTATTGTGATTGTGTGTTTAGAAACAGGCTAAAATCACACAGTGTATGTCTGGCAGGAATCTGCCAAAGCAGAATGTTTAAAGTGACCATCAACCATTCACTGCGTTTTAAGTCACACGGTATCAGCTAATTTTGGAATCAAAATTCAGATCACAGACACTCTTATCTAACAATTTATGAAAGGATATCTAAGCTGACAACTGTCTTTAAAGTCTGTATAAGCAAATGATTACAAAAATTAGGAGGTGGCAAGTAAATTTAGGATCAAAACGAGGCCAAATTCACAAAGATATAAAAAGTATTTACATGACATGCCTTTTTCAGGGAACAATTCATTGGCTAACAACTTACAACTGTTCAGTGGCTTTGAAAGTTCATGCAAACAGTTGCTACAGGTGTCCCAGCCTCTGTTGATTACTTACAAACCTTCTGTCTGGACAACAGCAGTGCTGGAACAGACTGAATTATTACACCCTCTAGGGCAGTATTTGGACACTGTTATAACCCTTAAAGGTGCAGGTCATTCCTGACAGAGAAAGCCAGAGTGACAGTGAGTACAGTTTTCCGCACCATCCAAAGGCACTTGAAACTGGAGGAAACTCTGACAGGAAGAGGTCTGACAGCTCAAACCCCCAACAGAGTCAGAAGACGTAGAAGACTTTAAACTGCAAGTTTGACTGGTTGAGTAACAGTAAGAGAGCCATTGCTAAGATGATCAAATAAGAAAAAGAGGCTTTCCTGGGTCCTGCAGCACCACCAGAACTACTGAAGACTGGAAGGTCTGATGGACTGAAGAATCAAAACTTGAAATCTTTAGTTTATCATACAGGGGTTTTGGTTTGGTGAAAGAATGGTTCCTCACCAACTATCAAACATGGAGGAGTGATTGTGATAGTCTGGGGATCTTTTGCTGGATCCAGTGTTGATGACTTGTACAGAATGGCTATCATCCTGAAACAAAAGGGGAGCAGAACGGTGTGGCTATGCGGACAATCACACATATGTTTAAAGAAAATGACAAGCTAGATGATGATAGGAATGTTTCAGAAAGTGATTTGCTTCTCTGCAAAATGAGATACAGGAAAGGCCAGAATAATTAAGCTCCAAAACACAATGAGCCTCATTCACCAGTATCTTCTTAAGGTTTTTCTTAAATGTGTTCTTGAAAAGGGTCCAAAGAAAAATACTTCGCCAAATTCATGATGTTTTCTTAAACCACAGAATTGGTAGCACCTTTGTGCTCTTGAGTGTGTGCCGATTCTGTTCTTACCTAAGAACAAATCCCAATGAAGAAAACACTGGTGAATGTCAGAATCTTCATAAAAACTGCTAAAGTGAATTTTAAGAAGAAATTTCTTCTTAAGAACGGTTGGTGAATGAGGCCCATTATTATTGTAACAGACATGCAATGTTCTGATCTGGAATAGTTGTTCAGACAAACACTATCTAAAATCCATATGAGGATGATGTGGTCAGCATGGTCTTTTTTTGGACATCTCTGGTTTCAAATGTTGTTAATAAAAGGAACAGCAGTAAAAAATGGGGCTTTTTTCACTACTAACCAAAGTCTGTCTATGACCCCAGCTGCATGGTGCCACCTACCTGGAGGACAACCCCTCTGGCACAGTGTGCTAGACTATTAGAAAGGTGGACAGTAAAAGGTAAAGTTAAAGACAGAGGATGGAAGTTGGCTGTTCATGATAAATGCAAAGCAACATTAGGTCAGTTTCCATCACTCACCCAGCCTGTATTGTGTTTATAGTAAGCTAATAAAAAGAGCGAATAAAAGAACTTCAAGAAAAATGGTGCTTCATTATGATTAATTCTCTCTTTCTTTTTTCTTTTAGTCCAGCCCAGAAAATGGCCGCCCTCAGCCTCAACAGGTTGCGCTTTCAGAGCTGCTTCATATTATTGCTGTCCATAACCTTCATTGTGTCTGTCATTATCATTGTGTTTGGCATCCACTCTGAGTCGTCCACAGTGTGGTTCAGCAACTTTGCCAAGTTAATCACATTTCAAAAAGTCAAAAATCACACACTAATAAATATGACCTCTTTCACAAGACACAACAATACAGTCTACCAACAGACGTCCGATGTCGCACACACTGCAGTAACTACAGTGAGCAGACATAACGTGACAGACATGCTCAGTATGGAGTCCATGACAACTGTTCCAGTGAAAGAAGCATCATCCATCCGTTACCATGAAGCGTATCCACACAACTACCGCTTCATCATAGACGAGCCCCATAAGTGTGAACAAGAGAACCCATTTCTAGTCCTCATGGTTCCAGTGGCTCCACACCAACTGGAGGCTCGCAACGCCATCCGGAGCACATGGGGTAATGAGAGCATGGTCCAAAACAAAACCATCACGGTGATCTTCTCGCTGGGTCTGCCTGGGAACAAGGCTGAGAAACAACAGGAGGAACTAAGGCTGGAAAGCCAGCAGTACCATGACCTGGTCCAGAGCGACTTCATGGACTCGTACCTCAACTTGACGATAAAGACCATGGTAATCATGGACTGGCTGGCCACACACTGCCCACAGACATCCTACGCTATGAAGATCGACTCTGACATGTTCTTGAATCTGGAGAACTTGATGAACTTGTTGCTGAGACCTGATACGCCTAAAGAAAACTACATGACGGGAAAGGTTATGCGGCACATACCGGTCATCCGGAACAAGAACTCCAAGTGGTATGTGCCAAAAGAATTATATGCTGAAGACTACTACCCAACATACCTGCTGGGGATGGGTTATGTCTTCTCCAATGACCTTTCAGAGAAGATTGTTGAGGTTTCGAAAGAAATAAAGCCATTTAACATAGAAGATGCATACGTGGGTGCCTGTCTGAAACGAATAAGAATTTCACCTTCAACTCCTCCCAAACCCTCCCAGTTTAAGGACCATTTAAGGGGTAAGTTTAAACGAGAAGAGTTTGCCAGTGTGATCACCACCATCCTTAACTCCCCACAGCAGCTGATCACATTCTGGCAGGACCTAAAGAGGCCTACATGAAGGACTTGGAGGAAAAAGACTCAAAACTGATGATATTTGGGATGTGATTGCCTGACATTTTCTTACAATGCTTTTGGGTTAACTGTCTGGAAAACTCCTCTATTTTCTCCCAGTTTAATCAGAACTGAAAAATAAATAAATGCTGCTTGCAGAAGACTGATACCTGATAGAACCACCTTATGCTGCAATAACAGTTTCTCACCAACTTCCGTATTATTGAGTCAGAACAGTGCAAATCTATGGGAGAGAAATGTGACAGGTTAGACTGTTAGTTCAGGGCAGTTTGTATGAGACAGAAGGAAACCCTGCTGCTCTCCCTCAGCCTGTCTGTCATGTTATGTTCCAGGACCTAAACGTGATTCAAGACCAGTGGGAATCTCTGTCAGCATTGCTACGATACGCCTGACAGCAGCACGAGATTTACAAAGTGGCAAACTCCGAGCAGAAAACTCACACAAACTATATACGTTACCAGAAAACTTGTAGAGAGAATTGAAACTCTAATGTTTTTCCGGGTTTCTCAAACACTAGAGGGCCAAAATGAATGGGTTAAGATGGAGCATTTGAGCAAAATCACAGTTTATAAATGCTTAAACATTTTTAATGTAAAAGAATACATTAATTTCCTGAACACTGAACAGCAAAAAAGAGTTTAAATCAGCGCCTCATCTACATCCATGACATTTGTGTGTGCAAACAGCCAATAAGCTGCTCCACTCGCCAACCAATCAGCACTCATTTAGCAGTAATGTTAGCATTCTGCTGCCCAAAACCCATTTGCTGTAGAAAAAAGAAAATATATAGGTAAGTTTTCTTTGCTTTTTTAGTGAAATACGTCCTTAAGTCTAAACTTAAAGGATAGTTTTGGGTGAGTGATTAGAAACTATTTTAACTTTTTTTTTTTTAGCCGTTGAGCTTCATTCACCCCCATTCATTTAGGACTTGCTCACGCACCCTCTGGCATTTTGCCGTCATGTTTATGATATAACGGGGGGAAATAGGAAGTGGCCAGGCTCCTCATAAGTCGGCTCTGACATTACATCAAAGTGTGTATATGTATAATTCAGGGGTTAAACCAGCGGCCCCACCTCAAGTTGTACCGTCCCGGTTTGCTGATTGTACCTCATACAGTGGATAGAGATTAGATAAAGCTAATGTTAGCTGCTTATTCTTTTTTTCCCTGTTCCACCTTAACTGATGTAGCACTTACACTCACTGTTCGGTCGCTAGCGTGTAAATGTGGCTCTACTTAAGGTGCAACGGAAATTCCGATAGAAAGCTAACATCAACACTTTATCTCAGTATAGCATATAAATAATAAATGAGGGAGAAGATAAAAATGCACAGATTTTAGAAGAAGTTATGTTGCATAAAGGCAATGCTGTGTGTGTAGCAGGAGAAAGACAGTTAGAGTTTAAGGTGGGCTGGTCTGTAACATATAACTCTTGGTCTGAGAACAAGTCCCACTCCGGCGCTGAGGTTGTGTATAATAATCATATCGACTTTTAAAACCCAAATGTGGTTGATAGATACCAGTGTTGTGGAAGAAGTAACAACAGAGTAGTAAATAATATTTACCAATTTATTTATAATAATAATACATACTGTAAATAATGTATGTTTAACTGTTGTTTTTCCTAGCCAAAGTCAAATTCTTTAATGATAATAACTCATACTCCATTTGTTCAAAAATACAAAACCGATCAAATTCAGAATTGTGGGTTTTCTTGTCATAATACATGCCCCCCACCCTGGGGGAATTTTAATGTTATATATTTATATAACATCGGAACTCCTCAGTCCAAACGTTGCTCTTTTGGTCAGACGTGTCAGCACAGTCCTGTCTGTCAGTACTACACTGAATACGAAGGGCTCATGTTCGAGGCAGATCACAGCTTACAGAGTGGGCTTGGCTACGTGTTCAGAAGACTTGTCATTCCAAATCAGTTGACCAATAGAGATGGCAGGTGAACGCCCTCTTCTAAGAGCTGCCCCCTGTTGAAAAGTGCCAAAAGTCAGAAGATAAAGAGTGACTTCAGTAGATAAAGAGTGATTTCAGAAGCAACAAATATATCTGCAAAATCAGCAAATAGAAAATAAATTACTAAAAATTAAAGCAAAAACTGGGAAACTGAGTAATACAGTTATATGCAGGGGTGTAAAGAGTACTGAAAACTCAAGTACAAGTACTGTTACTGTAGTGATAATTTACTCAAGTACAAGTGAAGGTATTAGTAAATAAATTACTCAAGTAAGAGTAAATAAGTAGTTCATTAAAAATTGTACTGAGTTACTTTTTCGTATTTCCGCTGTCGCAACCTGAACATATTTCTGAGCTGATTCGGCTACATCACTGGAAATAATCTGTACAGAAAAACACTAAAGCTAAACATGATAATATGTGGGAAAAAGTTCTGAGAGCTGAGACTGATCAAAGTTCGCTCTGCTAGAGCACATCTACACACCAGTCTGTGAGCTGTGTAAGGAACAAGGTTTACATTACACTGCATGCGTTTCATGGTTAGATGATTACATAAGACGTCCTACTTTATCTGTTTCCAGTAAAGTATTTCAGAATCGCTGAATGGCTGTGCAGAGGTTCATACAGATTAATTAACTTTATTTAGGAAAAAAAAACTTTTGTTTATTTAGGAAAAAACTAAATTATGAGTAAGCCGTTTAATTAATGATATACTTTTAGTGAGAGTCCTGCTGCCCATCAGCTCCCTGGACTCTAGCTTACGTTAATAGGTGTGAACGTCTACAGACAGTAAACACATTCACAGCATTCAAACTGTATATTTTCACTGAAATCTGTTCTACCATTAAAATCAGCAGCAACATCAGCAACTTACCCAGATTTTTACTGAAATATATTTCACCAGTAATCATGCTGATCACTTCATACAGAACCAGACATTATTACTGCATTTCATTTTCACATTTTTTAATTTTTCACATTTAAATTTTTTAACGTTTTTAAATGCCACTTTTCCATAATTCAGCTCAGAAACAATGTACTGTTTCTGAGAGATAGGCCTTGAATTTTGGAGAAAAAAAAATCTATACAAATGTGTGTTTGCAAGTGTGTCATTTTGGAATAAAACATTGTATATTCAGCTGTATAATCCACAAAGGTGCTGTGTAATCAGTCTGACTAAATTTGACTGAAATTTACTGTCTACACTGCTAAATATGCTCTCTTGAAACCTGTTTATGAAACACTCCTTGGTATTTGGGGGTTCCCATGTTGGCTGGCTACTCCAGCATTGGCCAACAGCTAATTTACTCACCTTTGAGGTGTTGGTACTAAAGCTTCAATGGCCCCAAAGTGTTTGGTTCAGCATTTCTTTCACTGGAAAGGCTCTTTTCTGGTTTGGTAATGGAGTCTTTCTCACCTTAACTGAGATCTTACACGTCTCCTTAGTGTCACTGGTTTGAGAAATGAGTTACAATTCACTCTTTCCACCAGTCTCTTATGAAATTGGGCAAGTTTTCAGCTTTACAAATATGCTACACCATACTGTATAGTTCTTCAGAGGTATCCTGGGCATAGTTACAGTTGCTAGGCTGTGAAGGAGCAGGAGGGTGAAGTCATTTGCTACAGTGCCACCCTGAGGCAGAGCAGTGCTGCATAGTTAGTTAAGAATATTATAGACAGACGTTCTCCAGTTGTTTAGTAGGATAAATAATGACATTTCCCTGATTTTTTTCAGGGACCCTCCAGAATTTTGAGTTTGAGACACAGGAGATTATTTAGGACCCCCTCTATTTCACTCCTTACTTGAAATTATCTTAAAACTAGTTGATACATCTAATATTTCTCTTTTTAAGATTGTTGTAAGAGTAGTACATGATTATTTAATATATGTCTAGACATTTAGTTTAGTCATTTTATTAAGTGAAATGACCTCACTGTACTCACTACACTCAGATCATTTGGCTTCTTTTAAGAAATAATGCTTGAAAGAAGGAAAATGATCTGCCAGTATAGTGAGATAAGTCGGTACACAGTAAGTAACTCATAATGGATTAGTTTTTAAGTAATTAGTCCAGTGCTGGATCTTTCTGTACTAACATTAACACTAGCGTTATGTAGGTCTGCTGAGACTGTAGCGCTCTGTTCTGACTGAAAAAACAAAGCTAGCTTTGGGAGTGGAGCTTCAAACTCTTTGCTTTCCTCCATATTTTTCTCTGATTTTGCCTCTCAAAACCCAGAAGAACCTCCTCTTCATAATGTAGAATATCACTTAACTGCTTTGTTCATATCAGTCTGTCTGTATGCAGTTGTGTCCTCACATAACAATATGGAATATTGTTTATTATAACCATGACTGGGGGGTCAGGCTGCACTGTCATTACTGAACATAATCACTACAATCACAACTAACAGCTATTTTTAAATGTATATATATTTATAGGTTTTTAACATTAACACATGCAGTATATTAGTTTTGTAATTTCATGGGGGTCTTAGGCTGCCTCCCTGTGCCTAGTACGAAGACCACCCCTGTTTGTACCTCACCCTTACTCAATATCTAGAACCTGTTGGTAATTCAGTGTGAATTAGTTAGAACTTAACATCATGTTACCAAAGATAATTGTCTAGTACTTTGGAGCTCATATTACCTGGTCAATATTATGTCATATATATTAGGTCATCATTAAGTTTTAATACAGTAACTTTAATGTGATTAAAGAGTTTAAACTGTAATGTGTTACAGCAAAAAGTAACCAGATTACTGTAACATGTTATTCATACTGCATTTCCACCTACACTGTTTATTTAACTCTCTTTTTCTTCTGTGTGTAGTTATTTGATGTTTTATAGTATTTATATTTCTGCTTGAACAAACATCGAGAGAGAAATTAAGTGTTTATTGATATTTATTGATGTTTATTTATTGCTGTTTCAAAAAAACAAACACACATTCTTGTTCTGTGATTCCAGAGTTGGAGTCTCACTCTGTCCTTTTCAGAAGTCTTTTCCAGAAGCTCATCTTCTCTGTGCTCTTTTCTCTCGTGTCCTTCGAGGCCTTCGACTGTTCCTTTCTCCTTTTCTCTTCAGCTTTCTTTTGTCTTTTGAGCTCTTTTGCCTTCTTTTTCTGGATCTTCTTCCACTCTTGTCTTTCTTTGTTGCTCATGTTCTCACTCGGGCTTTGGCACACGCGT